CTTCCGATGAGTTCGAGGAGGCTAAACCGAGCGATCTTCGCCCTGGACCAGTCAGATGACCACCCCCGGATGCTAGAATGAATCGATTATCAGCGAACTAATAAAAAACCGACCAACAACCCGTTGAACCTGTCAAAATTATTTAAAACCGGTCAATGGGATCAGTTTGAACCGGTCTAATTTTTTAAAAATTAATTTTTAATATATTTTTAATGTAAATAAAAAATAGATGTTTAACTATAATGGATATATATAAGTTATTATTAATTAGTTAGCTTAAGTATTTGAATGATTTAAATTGACATAGTATTTAATTAACAAAATTTTTATATATAAATTTTATTATATAAAATATTATTTCACATACCTTATTAACCTTACTAATAAACTAAAATTACTAATCTGCCATTAAGAACAAAAAAATCATCTAATTCACATACCAACCCAAAAAACCACCAGGTTCACAAAAATCCAAAACGCATATTTCTTCTCCCACTCATCTTCCTTCATTCCTTCCTAAAACAAGAAGAACACAAAACCTAAAATTCAGCTCGCTAATCTGCTAAGGCCCAACATTCTCGACTCGTTTTTTCATCCGAAGGCTGCAAATTGGTTTGAATTCACCAATTGAAGAACAAATTTCACGAGGTAATCCGAATTGAAACCTCCGCCTTGATGAGGTCCGCCACTTGCTGCTCGAAATCGGCGGCGAGGACGCACAAATACTTAGGTGCGCCCTGGCACACCTTGCTAGGTGTGTCAGGGCCTTTTGTGAAATACAGCTCCTTCAAAAGCGCGTGAGGTAAGGAGGTAGAATATTTTTTTTTTTAAATGAGACATGTGTCCCATTTCTATTGGGTAATGAATTTCATATATCATATTATATAAATTAAATTATCATTCATATTTGTATCAAAAAATAAAAATAAAAATACCAATATTCATAATTTTTCATTCTCTACAAATAGAGACCACATTTGATATTTTTTGGAACACAATTAATTTATCATTTTTTACAATTAATTTATCTTATTGGAAGATTATGACACAAATCTATAATTAGATGAATATGTTACATACTAAGATGAACATGTTATAGAGTAAGATGAACATGTCATAGAATAAGATGAAAATGTTACATTTTCACAGATGAAATTTAGATGAACATGTTCTAAAATAAGATGAACATGTTACATAATAAAATGAACATGTTATAGAATAAGATGAACATGTTACATAATAAAATGAACATGTTATAGAATAAGATGAACATGTTACATAACAAAATGAACATGTTATAGAATAAGATGAACATGTTACATACACAATAAGGTGAACATGTTACATAATAAAATGAACATGTTATAGAATAAGATGAACATGTTATATAATAAAATGAACATGTTATAGAATAAGATGAACATGTTACATACACAATAAGGTGAACATGTTATAAAATAACATGAATATGTTACCAAAATGAGATGAACATGTTATAAAATAAGATGAATATGTATTATTTCAATCTGCAATCTGTAACATGTTCATCTTATTTGAAAACATATTCATCTTGTTACGTAACATGTTCATTATATGTCATTATAATAAAATAATTACGAAAAAACGAAAAATTGGTTGTGCTCAAAAACCTATCAAATGTGGTCTCTATTTATAGATAATGAAAAATTATGAATTTTGGTATTTTTATTTTATTTTTTAATATAAATAATTAATGATATTTTAATTTATGTAATATATCTCATTTTTCAATTAAAAAAGGAAAAATGGGAATGTGCACTACACTCTCGAAATTTTCTAATTTTTTGGGGTGAAGGGGCGCGTGCAAATTTGCCCTGGCACACCTAGCTAGGTGTGCCAGGGCACACGGTAGTGCTACTGGTGAAGACGAGGCCGGAGAGGGGGATCGTGCGTTATCGAGGTCGACGCGGAAGCTGGGTGAGGTTGGGGTGGTGCGAGCTTGTAGATTCCAGAAGCTGGTAAATTGGCTTGAACCCCCTTGTTTCCATGTGGATTGAGGTGTATTTTATTAGATCTATATACGTTCATTTGACCTGAAACTTGGTGTGTGAAACCCTGCTTTGGTGACCTTTATTGCTGTAAAAAGTTCAGTTATCAATTTGGTCCCTAGCCCCTTGAACTGAGGCCTTTTCTGAACCCCAGCAGCAAAGCCGCAGCCGCGAGCACTGGCCGCAACAGTGCGAGCGAGCTGCGTCGCTCACCCATGGCAGGCCGCGCAGTGGATGCCCGGGAGCCTTGCAGCGACGCGGGCATGCCGCAGCGGTCGCGTGCCAACCGCGTGTTGCAAACCTGTGGGTGCGCCCGTGGCATACCAGCCATACCCCGTGCGCGCCCGTGTACCTATATGTGCGCCCGACGCACGCGTACCCCTAGTCGTCCTCAGCTGCACGCCAGAAGACCCGTAGCGCGCCCAGACGATGCCAGACGCTCCACATCCGCTCCCAGCGTGCAGCTGCGCCAGCGCGCCCAACAACCATCAGCTCGTGTCCAATCGCCTCAGCAGCAACCCGACACGTGCCCAGCAGCCCCGGCGCCACCCAGCTGCGGCCACACACGCACCCAGTGCACCCGCACGAGCCAGCCTACGCCCGTGCCAATCCAACTAAACCCGATTTTAATTTCCCGAGCCATTTAGCTGATTTTTTAGCCTTTGAACTCTTTTTTCGTGTAGAACCCGTTTTTGACCTTTTAAAATAATTTTTCCAAGTTTTTCTATAGAATCCGAGATTTTCAAATTCCACAAAATTCCACAAGCTACTTAGTCAATAATTTTCGACTAAGTATGAATTCCTATTGAATTTCTCGATTTATCAAGATTAATATGTTGAAATATTATCTTGTTGATGATATGTAGATGTTTGAGGAGTCGAGCCCTCTGCCTACCATCTGCTGATCATCGATATCTGCTTATCTCGACGCTTATCTCGACTAATCAAGTGGGTGTTGATAAACCATACAATGTATGTTATTCTTTATAATTGCTTGGCTTGATAATCAATGTATGCATGTGAATCGTTAGTCTATGAGAGTGTTCTCACGTTGATGTTGTGCCGACGTTCTCCTATTTGTGCATAATGAGAGGTTTCTCCCGTTGATGGAGTTCTGACGGTTTAGCTCCCGTTGATGTTGTGCCCGACGGTTTAGATGTAATCACATGGGCGTAGGGCGGTAAAGGAGGTAGACTAGATGATTTGTGTTCATGCTGCGATTATGGTTTTAAGTCATTATACTGAATATACTGTATGGTATTTGCACGGTGAGCTAGCTGGTTTGCTCACCCCCATTATTTTCCCCCTTTTCAGGTTGAGCTGGTGGCAGCGGCGAAAGACGGGCGAGTGGGGTCATATTTGTTGTTATTTATGAATTATTACTGCTTCCGCTATTTGTTATCTTTTCATAAGACATATAAGCATGTTGGATTATGAAACCGAATTGAGTTATTGTTTTGTATTCTGAATTGAGATCAATGATATTGATATTGATGTAGTTTTTAAAATTATTATGAGCATGTTATACTTGTCTGGATTGATTATGATGTTAAGTATTATTCTGGGATGGTTTATTTCCAGTGACTTGTGATGGCACTTAAGATATAAATTAAGTTTGAAATGAGTAATGCCCGTTAAATATTTTTAAAATAATTTGCAAAAATTTAACTCTGATTTTTTAAAAATATAAATTTTTCTTATAACAATAACAGGGCATTACATCTTACTTACAGTCTTTTAACAAACTTGGAGTATTGGTCACGAGATGGTTTACCACGTGCACTTGTGCCTTCAATACCCGATTTGTTGGAGAAACCTTTAACAATTGGATGGTCCTTCAAGTTTTATTTTATATATCTTCCGTCTAGTCAAAAAAAAAATCTGCCAAAATTCAATGTATAAGTGTACGATTTATTATCCTGCTAGTTACTGGATTTTCACAAATGGATTAGTACCTAGATTTTCACATTTTGATCAAAACAGATCCATATCAACATGGGTATGTGTTGATCCATATCGTCGTTCGGCTGACAATTGGAGGCTATTTCTTCGATTGCCGGCGGTGCTCTGGTTTGCGGTGGTTTGCCCTTCTTTTGGTTCTCCTTTGTGGCTGCTGGGCTATGGCTCTTCGGCGGGGATTTCACCTGTTTGGGTGGGATTTTGCCGTTGGACTTGGCAATTTGTGGTGGTGTCGGGGGGTGCGGGAGCCGATGAGTGGGGCGGGGTCCCGGTTGCTGTGTCGGTTTGGTGCGGCAGTTGGGGTTGAGGGCCCGGGCCACTCACGTTTTTTCCTTGGTCGGCTAGTGGTGTTAGGCGGCGGAGGATTGGGTCCTATCGAGCTTGGCTAGTGGTGTTAGCGAGTGCGGTGGTGCTGGCGTGGGGTCTGGTTGGGACTCTCTCGGTCAGAGATGGGTTGATTCGGGATTATCTCGGGGGTTGAGTTCACCTGCTGTATAGGCGTTCGTGCAGTTTCGGTAGCGGTTCTCGGGCTCGAGGTTTTCTTTGTGTCTGTCGGTCATTGTTGGTTGAGTTTAGTTCGGTTCGCCGGGGAAGGGCTCCGTTTTCGTTTATGTTTTGGTTTTTCTTTATTGTGTGATCGTTGTGTTTGTGTTGGTGTAGTCTTTGTGTTTTTGGTTTGTGTTTTTGGTTTGGGCCGTTGGTCCTTGTTTTGCCCGAGTGTAGTCTTTATTCTCCTATTGGGAGTTTACACTCGGGTATTACCCTAATGGGGATTTGTTATGTCTTTTTTCGTTGTGGTTGTAGTTTAGTTTGGTGTTGTAGTGTGCTGGTCGTTCTAGCTTTGCTAGCTGGTATTCCGTCTAGGTTGCATTAGTTGTGTGTGTAACCTCCCATTTCTCGGCTTCGGGCTCGTCTGTGTACATTGCCGTTTTGGCCTTTTTTATGAGTATGTTGATGCCGTTTGAAAAAAAAAAAAAAAAGACC